CTCCATTGTCAAGGCTCTTTACTGTGGGAAGGATTTGAAAGGATTGTGTGGTGGGGCCGAATGTCTTTAAGCAGTCCGTCCCCATACACCCTTAGCCTACCCCAACTGGGACCAAGGAAATAGACAGAGGCACCATTGTTCCGGCCATGAATGGACCCAGCCTCATCATGAATGGCCGCCTTATTTTTACGGTTGCTGGGCTCGTTCCCAAAGCGGCTGGGAATGGACCCCGATACGACCCTTGTCAAATCAGGACAGGGTGTTGAGGGGGAAAGAGGACAGAAGCTAGACTTTTTTTTTTTCCTATTAAAGAAATGGTGGATTTAAAAAAAAACTCACAGCTTTCACTGGAGTGGAGGGGAATGAGAACTGAAGGAGAAGATGGTAGGTTAGGTGATGGACTTGGGGGTTAGTTCTCTCTCTCTCTCTCTCTCTTTTTGCACTTCTGGGAGGAGGGGGAAGAGTGCCTGCCAAGTTTTTCTGGGGGACCAATGTGGCCAAACTGTTGAGGGAAGTATTGTGATATCACACAATCATTCTCAACTTGTACCCTACAACTATGCAGGATTCTGCCTCCCACAGCCGGTTGGCTGTTATAGGATGTAATGTCCCACACTTTTAAAGAGTCCCAGATCAGGGAAGACTCATATAATAGGCAAAGGGGTGTTGTGAACAAAGGTTGCTCCTTCCAGACCAAAGACATTTTCCATCTTTGCCCGTTTAGTTTGGTTGTTTTACAGGTTGCCACGGTTTCCAAAGTTGCGCAGAGGGAAAAGGAGAAAGAAGTTGGTGGCCATGAATGATCTGAAAAATGTAGGCTCAGTGATCTTCTCTTGTTTCACCCTTAGGCATGATTGCCTTTTGCTTTGGTATGGATTGGCAAGTTTTAATTCGTTTTGGTTTATTTTCTCTTTATGTGGTGTTAGCCACTCAGAGTCACAATGGTGAAACAGGCAGCCATATAAATCAAATACATACATACATGTATAGAATTGATCGCTTTTCTGTAATGCTTGATGTTTATTTCTAAGTGAGAATTCCAGGCATTATAGCAGTGTTTCTTAACCTTGGCAACTTTAAGATATGTGGACTTCAACTCCCAGAATTCCCCAGCTAGCCATGCTGGCTGGAGATTTCTGGGAGTTGAAGTCCACATATCTTAAAGTTGCCGAGGTTAAGAAACACTGCATTATAGGGACCTTTTGTTGATTTCTGTTATTTGTATGAATCCAGACTGGAAAACTGTCTGCCTTCTTTCACTTGCCTTATAGGACCCCCCCTCCACTTTTACATGTACTGGAAGTTCAGTTTCCAGAATTTCTAGCAGAGGAATTTCTAACGTGTCTGGTTGGGGAGGGTTGCCATATTGGGAAATGAAAAAGTTACAGTCAACAAAGCTGGTAAAGGTATCCGGCAGCTTGAAAAAGGATAGAAATCTAAGAACTAAGACTCACAGGTTCTTTGACATATGCAAAAGTTCCTTTTTTGATGGTTTGGGAAGACAGCGGGCTCCTAAAATAAAAGTTAGGAAGGAAAGGCTAGGAGTCAGGATTCTATAGCAGGGTTCACACATTCCAATTTATTGAATAAACTACAATTGGCTTTCACATAATACACTCAACCGAATTCAAACAAATCAGATTTGGTTAAGTGCTCTATGTGGCTCAGTCAAAAAGTTCCTAGGAACAGATTTATAAGTGGCAGAAAAAAAGCATATGCTGTACTGTCCTCCACTGCCTGAAAATCAACATTGGATTTTGCCTATCACATGCAGATTAATTCCAATTTATTTGGCTATACCATAATCAGGCCATATTACAAGCTGTCTCTGGCAACGCGCTTCCTTATCTTGTATCTGTGTCCTCTATTGGAGAGATGATCAGAATATGTTTTAATATCACTTATTTTGATGACTTTAGCATCCTCCTGAAAACTAAAGGAGTGGGGGAATGGCAGAATCTTGACTTCTAGTCTAAAAGCATATAAATATATTACAAGTTGGCTCTAAAACAACGCCATGCTGTTTCCCTTCTGCCTGCTAATGTCTGTTCAGTGAATGTGGCTGAGTGTGTTTTGCATTGTTACTATTTTGTAATAAGTACAACATGATCCATTTGGAGCTTAAACATTCTGTTAAGACATTCGTCAGCTTTTCAAAAGCGAAGCTGTTATGACCCCTTTACTAGCATGCTCTGCTTGGGAAAACTGTGCAGAACAAGCTGCAGAGTAAATGAATGAATGACAGAGTGGTGACAAGAAGGAACTTTTAAGCAGTCGTCTTTTGTGTGAGAACAAACAAAGTGTTAAAACAGGAATTGTAATCCCACCCCCAATGATGGGACCTTCCTTTCTGCTTCCTTTACAATGAAATTGACAAAAAATACGTACTATTCATGAGAATGCCAGTTCAGTCACCAGTCTTGATCTTCGGCCATGCTTTATGTAGGCCATAGAACCTTTAATTCTTTTAAAGAGGATGCATATACTGGCATCATTATTCATTTAAAGCATTCATTGATTTGTTTTAAAGCACAGTGAATTTACAAAGGCAACGCTATCTGTAGCCAGCTACAATGGTGCAAAATGAGAGGTGCAGAAGGATGTTGTGACACAAATCCTGTCTTTAGGAATTTGCATTCCAATGTCTGGCACAGATGTGTAAGTTAAACATCATGATGCATGTTTAATCACCTGTCCCTCCTTGTCCCACCCATGGGCATCCAGGTTTACAGAGTTGCAAAGATGTACAGGGACTGTGGGAAAGAAAAGCCATAGGCTCAGCCAGATAACTGAGATTAACTGTAGCAAGAAGACAGCTAGTGGTCTTCCGCTGCTGTTCTACTAGTCCAATTATGTCATGTCTGTACCTGACCTACCTATTACAGATATACAACTACTACAAATATAGAAGTCTCCTTCTTTTCATCTTTCCAGCTCTGTAGGGTAGATTTTTGATGTAGAAACAATAGAATACTGATGTGGGTTTCAAACCCTTTGCCTCACAGCGCAGCTAAGGTGTGTGTGTGTGTGTGTGTGTGTGTGTGTCAGAGAGAGAGAGAGAGAGAGAGAGAGAGAGGGAGAGTGTAGCTGAAGGGTAGCGTTGGTAGAAACAAGGGAGTTGGGGAAGGGTTTGTAGGGAGTGCAAGACCTGGAATAACAAGCAGACAAAGGGGCCTGGTGAGGATGTGATGGAATAGAGAGAATGGGACACAATTTCTTATTCTGAGTGGAACAAGAGGCTCATTGTGGCTTCATTTCAGGAAAAAAAGGGGGTGGAGATGATGGGCAATGAATGAGAGATGGGAGAGAACCACCAGATGCTTGAAAGAAACAGAGAAACCAATAATATTCTAGACAGTAAATGTCTGGAGGGGGTGGACATTGAGGAGCTAGGCTTTGTAGCTTTTCTCTTATAGAGGGTACCATAGAATTCACATGAAAGCCAGTTTTACTGTGAATCAGCTGCAAGTTGATACATACACCTTGCATCTGCTTGGTTTCTGCTGGCCTGCTAGCTGCTACATTAACCAGGAATTTAATCTTACTCTATTGACTGAGCCAAGGTGATTGAATGGTTGCTTTATAAACCAAAAGAAAATCTTGTTTTGCATGACTGGCTTGTAAAGGGTGCAAGAATCCAAGAAGCTGAGCTTGGCTAAGTGTTGTAGATTTATGTATGCATTTAGGAGCACCATCATGTGCATGACCCTCATTTGTGAAATCATTACCTCGGCAAAGGATTAGTGTGTCCTTCCTTCATCTAAAGTCAAAACTCCTTCCTCAGCTCCTGGTGACTTCATGGCCATTCCCATGTAACTGTCTTGGCAGCAATATGGAAATGGTGTCACTGCCTTCTTCCAAGAAGCATTTTTAACTTCCCAGTCTAGACTACAGCCCTGGGATTCTCTGGAGAAGTCCCATTCAAATACTAACTAGATCTGAGCCCAGAAAATATTGATCAGGTGCTGGCTGATCCCCAGTCTAATACTCTCCAATGTTTTGGACCAGAGTTCCCATTTTCTTTGATCATTGTCCTTAATGACTGTCTGGAACTAGAGATAATTTAAAAATTGGGGAATTTTGGATGGAGAAATAGCATCTTTGATAACCCTTGGAGTAACTATTTCAGTATTCCTGTACATGTAATGCCACCCTCTGGATAGTGTTATGTGGAAGAACAAGTGTATGTATACTCACAGGGTAGTTAAGTTCGTCAGATAATCAACTGTCATAATAATTACAGAACTGAGCTTATAATCTTCCATATGCAATTCACCTTTCTGACAGCTACTGAGTGGTTGGTTTAGCGCAGTGTTTCTCAATCGTAGCAACTTGAAGATGGGTGGACTTCAACTCCCAGAATTCCTGGCTGAGGGAGTCTGGGAGTTGAAGTTGCTAAGACTGAGAAACACTGGTTTAGAGCCACCCTCCCTAAACTCATGCCCTTTAGATGTGTTGGGAATGCCACTCCCAGAATTCCCCAGGCAATATGCCTTTACTTGTGCTGGTTAGGAATTATAGGAAGTGCAGTCCTGAAACATCTGGAGGCCATTAGTTTGAGGAAGGCTGTTTTAAACACTGGAGAATGGGACATAGGACCTTTCTATCGGGAAAAAGGCAAGATGGCTGTCCAACAGGTGAGACAGAGCCACCAAATAACATAGTCCTTCTCCACACGCCCCAAGACTGAGAGAGAAAGCAGGCTAGAGTGAGTAGTAATATGTGGACTACCAGGTGGGACCTTATCAGCTCCTTAGGTCACTTGATCCAGAGGTCTGAGGGCTGCAATATATCTCTTTACCACCTGCCAGAAATTATTTTAAAGCAGAATCAAGCTGGGCACTGCAAACTATCTTGAGAATGAAACCATCGTGATTTTCCTGCCACCAAACCTGATTCAAGACCCCTGGGAACTTACTTTCCTCCGAATCCCTCTTTCGTAGGGTATGACATTTCTAGCCTAGCAATGACAGCTTTTATGGAATGGAGTCTCCCTTTACCAGCAGATGATAACAGCTGCAACGCAGCTCCAGGTGACACAGCAAACCCTTTGCGTCTTGGTTTCCTCCTCATCTTCGTTACTGCAGCAGCAAAAGCGGATCAGGTAGACGCAGATGAGAACTAGACTGATGGCAAAGCACAGACCCGAGATGCTGGCCAGAAACAGAAGTGCCTGAAGAATGAATAGAGATTTTTTAAAAAATAAAAATAAAATAGGCAGACGTTTTCAGCCCATAGGTTATTGTGAGAAAAAAAGTGCAGTATTGTACATCCATATTCCACTTATCAAACATGAACTCCATATGCCTCCTTTTTTTCTCTGTCAAATTTCTAGTCATAATGAATAAGGAGACAGGTTTAATAGTATGTAGGCAGGATCCTTTGCTAAGTCCATTTCCTCATTAGTGTTATCTACCCGTTCTTGAGTTTTCTCCTCATTACTCTTACATTGGCACAACAATGATTGAATGACTCTAGAAGACACCATAAACCACTGATGAGGAAACAGCATTAGAGTGCTTCTAGGTGGAAGCCACCTAGTGTTGCTCCTCAAACAATATTGTGTAGCTACTCTGTTTTTCCCTCCTTAATTTTTTTTTTTAATGGGGTTAAAAATAAAAGACAGAATAAGCGATGAGAAAACATGGTTGGATTTGAAAGGAAGACAACATTCCCCATAAAATTCTGGGTGGTTGGACAGAGGATTGTACAACAGGAAGCCTAAGGAGATTCCTGTGGGCAGCTTATATGAGCCTGGACAAAGCGCAGCTGCTTGAATGTTTCAAAAAGAGAAACTCTTGTGTTTTCTGGAGCATCTCTTCCAAAGGATTTGCACAGACCTGTCGTACAATGAAAGTTTTATCCGGGAGCATCATGGTCAAACTGGTACCCTCATGATGTAGTCTCCATCTACGTGCCTCATTTGCACATATTCATTAGTACTTCCCACCTCTGTGCTTCATTCCCTCCATGAAACTGTTTGGGCCAGCATCTTCCTCTTTTCGATATAAAGAAGAGAAAAAGATTCAGAGGCTAATCCATATCCAAGATGCCTTTGCCATGCCACTAGTATTTCTAAGTAACAATCCAGAGAAATGAAGGGGAAGCTCACTCTGCATTTACATTACGATGTATGGATTTTATTGCTTATTTAAAATGGATTCTGTAGTATACTTATTCTGCGGACACTGTCCTAGTTTTGATTTCAAAATGAAAAATGACTCATCAAAATGAATACCTTGGCCTGAGCCCCCAATCTTTCAGAAAGCATGAAAGATTTCATAGGAACATTTGACAAATATTTTCAAAACCATAGCTCCCTGCAGATCTTCACTGCTTTATGGACTTTGGAGAAGTTAATGAGAATCAGCTTCTCGTTCATAAAAATGAGAAAATGCCTAAAAAAAACATTCAATCTATATTGAGCCATTTATCACAATTATAATATTCCCCCTTAACTCCTATCTTCATTTTCTTTCCCTTTCCCTGTAAGCAGCTGGTACATGCCATGATCCTCATGCATGTGATGTCACCTGCCCCTCTTCCTGCCCTGGGAGATGCCCATGACTTCTTCTATTGTCTTCCTCCCTTGCTAAAAGCCCCTTGGAATTTGTTCCTTTGCAGCATAGATCTTGTATTCTGTAATACCAATGGGATGCCCCTGTAGTCTGCCAGATGTTGCGCTGAATTCTCTTGACCAGCAGCCCTACTAGTAGGATCAGGGGTGAGGAATACTGGAAACTGGAGTTCAGCAAAACTGAAGGGTCACCAGCCCCCACACATGAAAATCACGAATAGGATACAGTAGAATAATAGCACGAGTAACAACAACAGAATCCATTGGAAGCTAAACCTTCAGGCCCATTTTCACTTACTTGACAATAAGCCAAATAAAACAGAATTAGGCTTCCTTCTTAGTAAACACACATTGTGTGCTTGCTTTTTATTTGAGCTCAGAATTTAAGGGTTTGGAAACACAAAGGCTTGAATATTTTAAAGTAGCCCAGAATGCAAACAGTCCTGCATTGTTTTGGTGTTAGTCCTGGCTGTAGAAATTTATCATGCAAATACCAAAAAGCCATCCTCTGTGTATATCCTTAAGGGTTCTGGGTCACTTTACGATTTCTATGCATGGGTCCTCCTATCCTTGAGGTTTGGAGAAGGTGCTTAACAACCCTGTAGACCGTGTAAGTATTCATTTTTTCATATTTTTCTTCCTGCTCCCTTCCCATCCAGGGTTATTTGACAGTTTTTCCAGCTGATGTCAAGACTCAGAAGACAGCAGGTTCCGAGTGCCATCCTGATGGCTGATCCTGCTTGAGGCCATAAGATTTGTGCCTGGATAAGAGTATTTATTTGCTTCATGCACCGTCTCTCTTTACCTCTCCCTCTGACAAACAGATTACAGGCAATCTGACAATTTGCCTGGCCTGAGACACTACAGTCTGTGCCCCCAGCAGCTGGCACAGTCAGGGAGTAGCTGGTGGTGAAATCTGCTACTGGCCTTTCAAGCCTCAAAGCATTCTCGGTCACAAGGACACATCCAAGCATCTATTCAAGGCTCACAGAGGCACACGCGGTCGTCCATTTTTGCCCAAAGCTGCTCACAACTTCACATAAAGGCATTTACCATCTTGCCTTCCTGCAGATCCTATTTATTCAAAGTGCATTAACCTTCGCCTACCCACTAACGTTTGATCACCCTATTCGCCTAACCGACTTCTCATCTAAAACTCATGCTGTTCATTGTCTGATAATTCCTCCTTTCACCTTAGAATCTTTCATTCCTGGCTCATACCTATCTAGCCAACATCTAAAAGCCAAATTATACCAAGTGCATCAACTTTAGCACTTACACAGGGTAAAGAGGTTTATATTCTATAGGCCAAAAATCCCAATCAAAAATAGTAGGGGTTGGATATTGTCATGAGGACCTAGATACCAAAGGAATGCATTATATCTTACCACTGTGGGTGTTATGATCCTGCTATTAATGGACTGGCTCCAGAATTAGTAGTGAAGTAGAACCATTTTCCTGAGCGTGGTGCCCTACGTATATGTAGGATTTCAGCTTCCCCACAAACACATGCCCGGTGCGTAATGGGCATAAAATCCAATTTATCTGGAGGGCAAGAAGATGGGAAAAGTCCATTTTTTAGGTGATACCTCTCATGTTGTGTCCATACATTCTTATTCTTCTTCCCTATCAGTCTACATTGTTCTGCCTCTGAAAGACCACCTCATAAGAACACAACAAGAGCCCTGCTAGATCAAAACATATCTTGTTTCTCACCGAAACCAGGCAGATGCTGATGGAAACTTCACAAGCAGGGCCTGAACCATAGGACTGTCTTCTTGTGTTCCCCAGCAACTGGAATTCAGAGGCTGCAACTGCTACTAGATGTAATATGTGGCCATCAAGTTTAATAGCTTCTGGCAGCATTATCCTCCATGAATTTGTTGACAAGTACCTGCCCATCACTTGGAAGGCCTTCTCTTGAAATGTTAATAAAGAAGAGTCTTTTGATGAAGTGGAATGTCACAAGTGCTTACATCATAATAAATTTGTTAGCTCTGAAGATGTCACAAGGCTTTTTATTGCTTATGCTGCAACATTTGGAATACAGATACAGTACCATTCTGGAAACTCTTCTAAAGCATATTCACCTTTTTAAAAAACATATTTTAAGTGCCACATGAAGTCCATTCAGTGCTTCATATTTCTTTGCTTATTCATTAGATTTCTGTTCCATTGAATATGCCACTGCCTCCTTCATTTGTCCTCCTCAACAACTATCTTGTGATAGATTGACTGATAGATTGCAAAATTTCTTTGGAACATGTTTTGCTTCATTTTAAATGATAGCTGAAAACGATTGTATTGACTAGAGTTTATTAGAAATTTTAACACTGAGTAATTTGTGCACAGTTTTAAAAAACTGTAATTGGCTGTGTTTGAAACTGGCTTTATTCAAGTTTGTTTTAAAGAAAGATCATTGCTTTACACTTCTATTTGATAAAAAAGCAGGACATAGAACTCGTATAAACAAATTCCAACCTTCACTTCCCTTTCATCCAACCAGTGGTGCTGAATTAAACCAAAAAAGCCATTCCAAATCTGACATGCAACCACTGAAAAATCATGGGATAACATTGAGTCAGCCCTTATCTTTCAACTGATTCATCTTCACAGGGCTGTGACGATTAGACAGAAAGAAATGCATTATTCTAAATTCTTGAAAAAAAGAGAACGATGTAGTAATAATATGGGGATATGGTAGGGCTACAATATCTGGGTGGCAAACCTTGGACAACCTTTAGATGGCAGCAAAGAGATCCTGAACACAAGAATGTTTGCTGCCAACTTGTGGTCATGTGGATATTTGCCGATATAATAGCTCTAGATAAACTGAATAGGAAAACAAGATTTTTAGAGGGCAGCTAGATTAAAATGGAGGCGAATGGATGATTCTTGAGAAGAATAGATCAAAGTTTGGTGGGTCGGGGTTCAAATGCACGGCTTGTTTTTAATGCCGGGCAATCCTGCTGCAACATAGAAAATCATAATTATGGTTCAAAGGCATCCTCTGAATGCATAGAATGCTTTCTCCTTAGCATGGAGTGTGCAGAAACAGCTTCCTTCTATCTGGCGCTAGGAAGAAGGGCATTCAATACAATATTGAAGATAAGCTTGAATTCAGGGCAAAGAGGAGCAGGTAGCTACAGAAAGGAATCTGGGGGTCCTCCCCCTGTCATTTGAATCTCATCCATTTCTCTTGCACACTCACGCATATCCTCAGCAAATTGGATCAGCTGCAGCTGGGAGGCTTGGCCTGACCTACATATCAGAATGAGCATGTTCACCTCCTTGCTAGCTCTGTAAGGGAAACTGCTCCCCCAAATGTCCTCCTCCTCACTCAAGGACTGTGATGGTGATGTGCAATCCCAGAATGACCCACAACTTCCCCCGGCAGCTGAGCAAGAGAGGTTTCTCCAAACGTCTGCTATTTCCCATGGCTTCAACTGTCTTTGCCTTTTATGGTATTACACAATATTTACTTTTGCCTGGCCCTGAAGGATTACGTTTCCTCCAGTGGTGGAGACTTCTGTCTTAAGAGGAATGAATTTCACATATGGCTTTGAAATGGTTTGGGAGGAAGATGAACCAAGGCT